AAAGGAGGATCTGTACCCACAACTAGTTATGTTGATGAAGGGATTCAGGAAATTATTAGAAAGGAAAAGAAAGCTGTATAGGCTGATGTCAGATCACATTAATAACGGCAAACGTTTATTGAAAACCCTTTAGATACTAATTATCAGAGCAGATTTTGCAGAGAGAACTCAGACCAAGGGTTCTATCTTCATGGAGCTTACACCCTATTGGTAGTTTGTTGTAAATATATCTAGCTATAGTTACCTTTTAGAAACCTTATGTGGATAATTCCATTGATGAGATTAAGTTATGCTCAATTACTCTCTTATGTTTCAAAAGCAAATTCCCCCTGCTTGTGAGTACAGGGAACTACCCTGTGCAACATATCACTATGTGACCAGCTTCAGAACCACACATACATGACTTCTCGGATCGGCACGCTAACATCATCTTGAACTATACAGCCTCATCCTTGTGCTCCATGAAAGAAAAAAATCCAGTGGCACCCTCTCTATGCACAGGTGTAGCTGGGATCCCGCAGGATTAGCACCAGCACTGATGGCCTTGAAAGGAGGAAAAGAGCCTGAGCGTCAATGGATTATTTTCTGTTAAAATTACCAGTCTGGAATTATATTTAAAAACTTGCATTTCCATCACCCTTTACCTCATACTTTAATGAAACTTAATTAATAGAATTGCTTCTCTTTGCTTCTTATCGTTTATTGCCTTTAAAGCACTCTAATAGGACTTTTTATTTGTTATATCCTTCTTTTCCTATTAAGAAGTTTTCAGTTTTATCCTTTACAAAGTGACATTTTCCATTTTGAAATAGGTACTGGAAATACAGCAGCTATTATAAGTTCTTAACAGGTTGCAGAACAAAGCAATAAATCAGGTGGGTGAGGCAACAAATCTGGAAATATCCAGGAATAGATGACATCAGACAGACGACTTGTGAGGGGCAGTCTCTGGAAAATGCATGATACGAGTTGTAAGACTTTAAAAGCTCCCTGCTGTCATTCACCATTAAATACACCTGATCTTTAAATTTGGCACCTGCTTTTCAGGGAGAACTCCAAGTTGAAAGAGTGACCCGAGTGATGTCAGACACAAAACAGCTTTCAAAGCAGACACGTTGAATATGCCTTATTCTGTTCCAAACTCAGCCAAAGATACCCATGTATTCAATTCCTTGTGTTCAACTAGTGTTGCAAACTCTCTAACTGACAAAATATTAAGGAACATAAGGAAAGACAGAGTGATCGGTCATGAATCTAATCTGTTGCCAGGATTCTCCATCAAATCCTGTCTTCAAAATTTGGGTAAACTGTTCAGTTAATATAACATTCAATATTTGATACTAAAAAAGTAACCTTCAAAATGAATAGCTCTTGTATATGAACAAATACCAAAGAAAATCTGTGGGTGAACAATGACCTTTTGCAAAAACGAGGAAATGGTTAAATAAAATAATTTTTTAAAGCACAGCATAATTATGATGAAGACACCCAGCTACTGAAGTCAACACAGTGACTAATCTTCAAGTTAACTTTTCACTGGCAAAGAGAATTCTTTGAAGAAAACGAAGGTTGTTTCATCGTCAAGGCTGCACCAAATACTTCAGCTATTTTCTCACCTAAATCAAATATCATCATAGATGATATTTTCATGTATTTCCCCTGTTCACCCTTTATTTTGAATGTCTTTTTGGTTTCTAGGCAACCATCCTAATACATCTTTTTTCAATAGTCCCTCCCTCTCCTGCACAGCAATAATTATTCTTAGAAAAAGATCGGTGGCCTTGCTGGAAAATATAAAGCTAGAGCTCAATGCTAAAGAGAACAAGAGAAAAACCGATCACAATTATAACAATTCACTTTTTAATCCTACAGCACAGTTAAAAAATATATATGTAGCCTGAACACTATTACAAGCTTAACAGTGATAAAGACAGAAAAAGAAGGTACAATATAAATTTATTTCCAAAAAGAATGTCCAGAGAAAAACTCCATTCATCAAATTCTGCCGGGACTTGTGCCATTTCTGTTCATCATGTTCATAAACCGCCTTCTAAGGGGATGATCCGTAGCTAGAAAACCATTTGAAATGAGAGGTGGTGAACATGCAAGGCCCTCCCGGACAGGAAATGACCAGTCAGGGAGAATGATCCGCCGGCGTGTGCAGCTTACGAATTGCTCACATTTTTCTTCCAGAATGTGCATTGGGTATAAAGCAGAAGGATAATTTTGTCTTAATTTGTTGAAATGTTCTAACACTCAGTGTCGGCTATTGGCTATCCGGGGATCAGACTGCCTCAGAAGTTAGTGAAGTCAGTGACTGAGGATTTAAAGTAGACACTGACTTCCTCCGTGACTCTCCCTGTGGACCAAGATAACTCAGTGGATGTCAAATGGTCACGTCAAATTTGCTATGCCTCACATGAGCTCCGATTCTGACTTACTCTTCTTCCTCTGCTGTTTTGTTTTTTTGTTTTTTTTTATCTCTGTGGTAACTGTTCCACCTAAGAATGGAACAGTCACTCATAACTCTTCTCTTTCCTCGTATTTTACACCCAATACTAAAGCAAATTCTGTGGCTGCTTCACCTTCGTAATAAATGTGACTGTTTCTCCACTTTCTCCATTTGCATCGCTTACACCTACCTCGCTGCTGGCATCTCGTGCTTGGCTTTTTCCTGCATTCGCGTGTGACGTGCGGTCTGCTCCCTGCAGAGCTCCAAGATCTTTTTAAAAATGCATCTGGGGTCAGGTCTTTCTGGTAACATTTCGTTGTACTTCAAACTCTGATCTTTCTTTCTTCCTTCCTTCCTTCCTTCCTTCCTTCCTTCCTTCCTTCCTTCCTTCCTTCCTTCCTTCCTTCCTTCCTTCCTTCTTTTTTGGCACCGGGGATCAAACTCCGGACCTTGTGCTTGAGAGGCAGGCAATGGAACCACTGAGCCGCCCCAAACCCTGCTTTCCTACTGTGCTAAAGTCACAGCTGCACCGCTGCTGCATGTCTGAGTGACCGGACTTCCACAGCTCTCTCCCTCCCTTTCCTGTTCCAACCTCTCAGATACCATCGCTGTCTTTAGGAATTGCCGTATCACCTGGCACTGCTTCTCGCTCCTCATTATTTCTCCTCCCTGGAACTTCTCTCCATTGATCTGCTTTCCCTCTCATTTCAATTAAAGTAGTGCTCAGATATCACCTTGTCAGAAAACCCTTTGGAACAGTTTATTCATTACCTTGTATTTCCTTTTCCTCCACTGAGTTTGTTAGACTTTGTTTAATCTCCAACTCTTGGGACTACAAAACAAGCTCCATCTTTGTATGAGTGACTATAGCCCCCAGACCTAAAAGAATGCTAGCTCAGAGAAGATGCCCAAATATATTTTAATAAACATTATGGAAATTATTTCAGCACGAGTAAGAAATTGGGACATCATCGTTAATAAAGCTCTTCCAAATCTACAAATCTGTTATCACTACCAAAGATATACATCCTCATTCTTCAAGTTGACTATAACTTGAAAATTAATTTGTGTCCTATTTCTAGATAGACTTGGCAAACATATCCTAATTTCTTATGAAGCTCGTGAATTTTATGAATAATATTTGTAGCATAATAGGTTGTTTTGCTGCAAAATATTAAATTCTCTTCACTTACCCTGCTGTGACCATTTTAGCCATCTGGCTTTCTTCCTGAGGTATCTTTTGGGCATAATTGTAAGAAAGCTATAAACACCTTAGCCTATAATTTATAAGTAGTTTTGACACTCAAGGTTGTATATCAAAGTAGTTTTAATTTAACAAAAATACAAATGCTATCATTATCTTTTCAAGTTCTTATTATAAGGGCTATATAAAAATAGCTTTTGGTTTTGAAATAACAACTATCAGAGATATATGAAGTCAAGACATTTTTATTCATTAAATTTATTGGTATATTTTAGGTATACAATTTGATCACATTCATCATTGGGAATTTGTACCTGTATATGATATATCTTGACTCTTATTTTTTCCCCTCCCTTTAGCTCTTTAACCCCTCCCTATTTACAAAAGCTTTATTTCTGTTTTTTTTTCTTTTTTCTTTTATTTTTCTTTCCCCTGCACCCTCTCCATAGTTCCCTTCCCCTTTGAACATTTTCTTCCTATTTCACATTACCTATTATACACTTTGGTCATCATTCATAATTTTGATTTCTTAAACTAGAGAAACTATTCAGTATTTCCACATGTGTATCCTATGTATTTCACTTGAGTATCGCCTCAATGAGCATCCATTTAGTTATAAATGTCTCTAGTTTTATTCTTTACAGCCAAGTAGTACTCCCTTTTATATTTTTTAAAAACTCCTCATCTTCTTTATTCAGTCACCAGTTGATGGGCATTTGGGCTCTTTCCAAGCATTAACTATTACAAACTGCTGCTATAAACTTGGGTGCACATATGTCATTGTGGTAGGATGCTTTTAATTCTTTCAGGAACATACCCAGAAGGGAAATAACTGGGTCAAATGGGCCCTCTAATCCTAGCTCTTTGAGGTGTCTCCATACTGATTTCCACAGTGGTTGCACCAGTCTGCGCTCCCACCAACAATGAAGAAAGGTTCCTTTCTCCTCACAGCCCCACCAGCCTTCACTCTTGGTTGATGTCATGTTGTCAGCCATTCTTTCTAGAGTGAGGTGGAGTCTCAGCGTTGTTTTCATCTTCATCTCTCGAATGAGCAGTGATGTACATTTTTTTGTACGTTTATTTGCTGCTTCTACTTCTTCATCTGAGACATAGAAGACGCTTTTTTTCAAATGAGTCTCTTAAAAACCAGTGTAATATATGGGTGAGCAAGTTGCCCTTCAGATCCCGAAGAGTAGGAGATGCATAGTTTACATTGTATTAGAGGAGTCCAAAACGATCAGAGATACCGGAGCTCGACAGAATAAACAAACCAAACCTTACTCAATGTTACCATTGATTTACTCGGCGTTCGCTCACAGTCATTACAGTGAATGCCCACCTAGGTCACACGTTCGTGATGACACGGTGGTTTTTAGAAGCTCACAGTCACTCCACAGGACAAATAAACGGTCCTATACAGTGTGTTTTATGCCACAGTATCAGTGGATATAGAGTGCAGGGGGTAAATAAGGCCAGTTTTGTTTGTTGACTTACAGTTAATGTGGGTCTTTAATCTCAGAAACACGAATTATACCTGTTTATAAAAAGAAAGCAAAAAATATTATGTGGAAAAATGGTACCTTCAGTAAATACGAGTCTCAGTCTGAGTCTGAAAATGGTGCTCTATCCCGGTCTCAGAAGACTTAGTTCTGACTAACATAACTTGATGAATAACCAATGATTTCTCGGTGAGTTTGATAACTTGGTCATTTGCTTATATGTATCTCTGTATTAATAAAATCCCAAGAAAGAAATGAGCTTTATGAGGCCGTGTGAACGGTAGGATGAGAAATGAGCGACACGTCAGTAGACTTGAATCTGAGTGCAGCATCGGCACGGGCTGACCAGCCAACAGCTTGTTTGCCAGCTCATAATGCTCCCTGGAATGTTCTTTCTCTGACTAATGGAAGGGGTGGCAAAATAATCTCCAGGTGAACGCATAGCCCGTATTTTGTCCTTAAAATACATTTAAAGAGACTCTAGTGCAAGTAATTGTTTTCTAGTTTCACCCAGGCCTTTCCAAAAATACACATAATTTCTAACCCCAAGCTTCTGAATACCCTAATCAACTGTGTTCCAAATAGTGTGTGTGATGACAGAAATATTTACATCTGCCTTTCTGATATGGTAACACCTGGCCATATTTAGCCATTGCCCATTAAAATGAGGCTAATGCACCCGAAAAACATTTTTTTAATGATTGAATTTTAAACAATTTTAATGTAAATAGTTCCATGAAGCCAGGGATTAGTACAGCTCAAATGATCGTGTACTATGAATATAAACCGGTCTCATAGCATTTTAAGTTTAAAATAAAACACAATGTTAATTGAAGCTGCTTTGAAATGTCCTGTATTTATACTTTAATAAAGCATTATTATTTGTAGAAATACACCAGTAATAAAAACTTAATGCTGTAAGAGTGCCGACAACACATTATAGACAATGAATGTCACTACCCACCCATGCTATGCCTTAGTCAAATGGCATTTATATAAATTGGAAAGGATCATTTCTTTCATTAACCTTTTCAATGAGGTTCCCTGCTCCATTTTTTTTCTTGAACAGCCGGGAATGTCATTATGACAAAGGAGGCACGTGCTTTACAGGGCAGGGGATTAGTACGTAGATAATGTATATGTCCCAGTTCTTCAAGAGCAATTGTGCATCCTATCTTTTTCTTCATTGACCTGATGTATATTAAATAAAATCAAATTTGAATAAATGATTCCATATTTCAAAAAGATGAAACTATCATGGAGGTTTTTCAGTAGCTTTTAAAGAAATGGAAATAAAAAGTTTTCTGGAAAGACAATTATATATATTTAATAAATCAATAGTAAAGTAAGAATAAAAATATTAAACACTGCTGCATGTGTGTTTAAACTGGCTTTGCCATTTTCTTTTTTTTGACAAAGTTTTAATAAAACTTTAATGTAGATATTTATCTTTGAGCTTATCGCAACAGAAAATATTAACCATGTCAATGAACACAGTTGTATATAGCACCCATGTAATTGGAATAATTAACAAATATAATTGATTAGCCATACTTACATGGCCAATAAAACATCATACTTCAAGATATGTAAAATGAAAGATTCTTATGGTACAGTGATTATACATTTTTCATTCACTAACAAGAATATGTGTGGTACATCTGAAGTGGAAACTTTCCTCCATAAAGAAATGATAAGTATTTGAGAATATTCATATATTTGACTCTATTTAAACATTACAATATACTGAAATATTATAGTACATACTCTGATTACGGAGACTTTTAATACTTTAGCATGTATCAATTAGCAACTTTAAATTATAAAAGGTACAAATATGAAAGAAAATAAAAGCTAGAGTAAATGTGAGGTATATGTATGAACTGGCCTTTAACAAAAAATAGATATACAAAAAATTGCACATCTACCTGAAGAGACAAGCGTCAGACTTCCAGTCTGAATTATTGGGAGGATGTGGTACCATCGGGGATGCATGTATGAGTGAGAGTATAAATTGATGCTATCGCTTTGGAAAACTGCCATCCAGTAAAACTGAAAACAACATATCACACCACTCAAAATTCCGCTCTTGGGCTCCAGAAAGACCCACACAGCTACACTAGGAGACATGCAGTCCAATGTCTGCAGCAGGCTTTATCATTGTATTCTTAAGTTGGAAACAACCTACACCCTTCCAGAGCAGAACAGTTAACCTTATATTCATAAAAGGAAGTTAATGCTACAAAGAAGATGAGCAATTATGACACTGCATGAAAGAAACATGAAGGTCGAAAGCAAGTGAAACTGAACAATATTGTTCAGTGCTCAGGATGGAGGTGGTTAAAATCATGAAGAAAAAGGAAGGGTGTGATTATTTGCAAAGTCAAAATTGTGTTTTACTTCAAGAGGAAGGACTTGTAAAGAATCTTGTTTGTTCTAGAAAGTTATCAATTTATTATTTTTTAACTTGGATAAAGGGCTCACAGGGTTGCGTATTGCAACTATAAGTGAGCCTACAAGGAAGATAAGTTTAGGATATGGCATCACATGAAAATAAAAATGCCTGAGAACTCCTATAATTCCAAGAAACTCCTAGAGTCCTTTCTGAGTAGCACAAAAAACACACTTTGTCTTTGAATAATGAATGGCCAAAATAAATGCAAGCAATCATGATTTAAGGTGATCCTGGGCAAACTTTTGTCTTGGGCCTTTTAAAGGACTTCTTGGTTACTTCCCATTTTTCAGATTATAAATTACACTGTGTAAATATTCATCGGCAGATTTCTGTGTGGACATAACATTTCAACTCAGTCTGGCAGATATCAGTGTTGCTGGGGTGGATGATGAGATTGTTTAGCTTTGTGAAAAATTGCTAAACTGTCTTCCAAAGCAGCTGAATTAATTCACAAATGCACCTGCTGTTGCTGCACATCCTTGCTAGCATTTGATAATGTCAGATTTTTATTTTAGCCATTAATGGATATATAGTGACATCTCATTGTTTTTATTTACAATTCTCTAATATGATATGAACATGAATATCTTTTCATGTCTTGTTAACCATCTACATAATTTTTCACGTCTTTTGCCCACTTTTTAGTTGAGTTATTATTGTCTTATTGTTGACCTTCAACTGTTCTGTGTATATGTTAACTACAAGTCATTTATTAAATATGTGTTTTACAATTACTTCCAGTTTATGGCCATTTCTTTTCATTTCCATAACCGGTATATTGCCATAGAAAAAAAACATTTTAAATTTTAATGAAGCCCAAATTATAATTTTTTTTAATTTCAAGGATAATGCATTTGGTGTTGTAGCAAAAAACAAATTGCAAAGTAACAGATTTTCTATAGGTCTGTCTTCTCAAAACTATTGCTTTGCATTTTGTATTATGTCTATGGTGTATTTCAAGTTAGTTTTTATATAGGAGGTATAAGGTCCACCAGTGTCCAGTTTAATTTTTTGATAAGTTTTTATTGAAAAGGTAATTTATATCATATTGTATTATTATAGTCATGGGATAAATTTTATATTCTTTTGTCATTTTATACTCCATGGGACAAGTACTGATGAACATTCTTTCATGCCTAATACTAGTAATTTGTGTTATCTTTCCTTCATTCTTTTTTGATTAGTGGCTAAAGGTTTATGAATTTTATCAATTTTCTGAAAGGATTAGCTTTTGGTTTTATTGGTTTTCTTTTGTTTTTGTGTTTTCCATTTTATTGATTTGTGCTGTTTCTTATTACGGTATTCTCTTTTTGGGGGGGTACCAGGGATTGAACTCAGGTCCTTGCACTTGCAAGGCAGGCCACCGAACCGCTGAGCTAAATCCCCGGCCCTTTCTCTTTTCTTTAGATTTATATTTTTTCCAGTTTTTTAACAAAAGCTTAGATGAATAGTTTCAGTTCTTTTTAAAATAGTTTTAGACTTTCTTCTTTTCTTAAGTGTTCAATGCTGTAATTTCCCCTCTTTTAACTGCTCTGATTGCATTCCACAAGCTGTGATAAATACAAGATTGGTGCTGGGCCTGGGATTTAACTCAGTGGTCTGCCACCTGTCTAGCAAGAGCAAGGTCCAGAGTTCGATCCCTGGTACCACAACAAAACAAAACAAAACAAAAGATTGGTGCTTTCATTTTCATTGAAAATATTTTAAATTTTCTAATGAGATTCTTCTTTGATCCAAGCTCTATTTGGAAATGTTTTTCTATGACCAATATCTTTCTATTGTTCATTTGTAGTCTAATTACACTGTATTCTAACAGCATATTTTGTATGATTTCTATTCATTGAAATTTGTTAACAATGTGTTTCATATCTCAGAGTATATTTTACATCGAAGAATGTTTTTTGTGAATTTAAGAGGAGTGTGTGCTCTACAGCAGGCTAGATTTAGCCCATGAATGTTCACTTGCCAGTCAAAAACAGTGTCAATTAGAAACAGATGGTTAATAGTGATGTTCATTTCAACCAAATTCTGCCTTTTAAATCAGTCAATTATTGACAAGAACACTGGAATTTCTAACAATACAAATGGACTAATTTCTTTCTCCTCATCGTTCTATTGTTAGGTATATATCTTTCAAATACCGTTATAACTTCTTAGTGACCCATTTATGTAATGATATAATACCCAACTTTGTCTGCCGATTTTGCTTGCTCTGAAATCTAACATTTCTAAAATCAATATGACCACCGGCATTCTTTTGAACAGCGTTAGCATGGTAGGCGTACCTCTATGCTTTAGTTTTTATGTATCAGTGGTTTTGTATTTAAAGTGATTTATTATAGACCAGCAGTTCCCAAAAGATTTGATGCCAGGGACTTGTTTTGTGGGAGACATTTTTTCCCAGGGTGGTGGGTTGGGCCACGGTGGTTTCAGGACGATTCAAAGGAACACTCACCTTAGATCCCTTGCGTGGTGCAGTAGGGTTCACTTCCTATGAGAATCTACTGCGGCTGCTCATCTGACGGGAGGCGGAGCTCAGGTGGTAAGGGCGGCTGTAAATACAGAGGAGCCTTTGCTGCTCATCTCCTGCTGTACAATGGGGTGGCTTGGTTGGACCCTGTGTGTAGATAACATACAGCATGGCCTTGTTATATTTTAATCCACTCTGTACCTTCCTGACTTTTAATTTATATACTGAGATCATTCATACTTAAAGTGATAACTGATACAGCTGCAATAATAGCTATGATATTAGTAAAAGTTCTATATTCATTGCACTTGTTTTCTATTTTTATCTTTGCCTTTTCTGCCTTCTTTGATTTTTAATTGTGTCTTTTATATGATTTTATCTTCTGTCTTCTCAGTAAAAGAATTATTTTTAATGGCTGCCTTAAAAGTTTGTGGTATACATTTATATCTAACCAAAGGTCATTTTTTAAATAACACCATACTAATTACATTTAGTGGAGATACATTATGAGCATTCCCAGTCTCCCTCCCAACCCTTAAAACACTGTTGTAATTTGTTTCATTTATCCATACACTAAAATCACCCAATATATCATTGTTATTATTATTCTGAGCCAATGAGAATCTTTAAATCACTAAGGCATATGAAAAATAAAATAATTTGTCATATTTTACATTCATTTACTCGTCCTCTCATGTTCTTATATTTTATATAGCACTAATAATCACAGATACTTTAAATACCCAGGATGGTAATTTCTGAATCTCTGCCCTAGTTGAATATGGTTTTGATGTTTTTCTCTACAGTCTTTTATTATAATGCCTTTTAGCATGGCTTACCATTTTTTGTTGAAAGGCAAACATGATGTATTTGTAGTAGTGGCTGAAGGAAACATGACTTTAGTGTGAGATGTTAAATTTATCTGGCCAGACAATAGGTTCATTTGCTGTTTGGTGAGGTTGTGGGTTCCAGAGGCTTCAACTTCTTCCACTTTCCTTTATTTCCCTACTTTGCTACCTTTGGGTTTCCCTAAGAACTCCAAATTAGCTGAAACCACATTGTTATATGAATCATGTTGATACAGTTCTAATGGAAATGTCCTATGGTTCTATAATGAGGTTTCAGTACTTAGTTGGACCTGTGTCCCTGGCTATCACATTTGCAAATACTTCTCCATTATTTTGCGTCTTGTAATGGACATTAGTCAAGAAGGGTAGATGGGGCTGGAGTTTTGTGTTTCCCTTCCTTCACATTGGCTGGGTTCTGGTAAAGTAATTTTGCTATAAAGAGCATAACAATACTACAGAATATTATGAAATTATAATTTTTCCCTTAGGTGGATTTCAAAGTATTATTTCCTCTCCATCTGATTGAAGCATGAGATTTTCTTTAATCTTCACTGAGAACCAAGGGGAGGGGGATTCTGCAGGGAAAACTTACAAAATGTGGGTGCCTGTAATCCTAGGCCCTCACGCAGCCACCAGTAATTATCAATTGTAGAACAGTAATGACGGAAATACAGTAGAAGTCTTCTAATGGTCCCTGGCTGCAACAGCTTCTTCTTTCCATGAAGTATGATTCTTCCTATCCCGGTGCCACTTCAAGCTTGGGGGCTGCAGGTTGCTCTGTGACTTAAATGCTTTGATGATTCTAAGAACATTGCTTGATTTGCAGTTTGTTCCATTTGCTATGAAGATGAGTTTCTGTGTTAAGATGGGGAAAGCAAGAAATGCAGAGTTGAACTACTTTCTCCAAGGTCATGTAACATACCTATCCTTTCTTATTTGTGCTTTATGATTTTTAAAAATCTGCTAATACTTAAAGACCATACCATCTTCTGAGGAAAATTGTAACCCAACAGTAGACTCTGAATCACCAGCTGGTTAAAACATCAAATTTGAGGGGTAAAGAAAAAATTCTTTTTTTAATTGAGTTTATTGGTACAATCTAGGTATACAATGCAGTTACATTCATTACTGGGATCCTGTACCTTCACATGACAGCTCTTGGTTCTCATTTCTTCCCCTTGTCCCGGCCCTCCCTTCCCCCCCCTCCCCATTTACAAACACTTTATTTCCATTTTTTAATTTTCTCATTTTTTTCTTTTCCCTTGTTCCCTTTCCCCTACCCTTTCCAGTTTCCCTACACCCTTAGCTCTTTTCTTCCTATTTCACACTATTAATTATCCCATTAGGATCCTGTGAAAGAAGATGTGGTTTTTCTATAAAATGGAATACTACTCAGCCATAAAGAATAAGAAATTAGAGTCATTCATAGGAAAATGGATGCATATTGAGGATATACTCAAGTGAAATAAATAGATCACACATGTGAAAATACCAAATAGTCTCTCTGGTGTGAAAAACTATAAGAAATAATTCTTTATATCTTCATACAGAAAATCAATTGCATGTCAAAAAAGATGAGAGTATCTAGCTTTGCATTTCTTTGCAACCACATGCAAATACATAACACAGTGGAGATTTTCCTGTACATTTGGGTAACAAAAAAGTAATCCAACATTATCAAACTAAGTCAATATGTCACTGAAATGGATACACAGAAATTCTTCACCAGGTTAAAATTTAGAGACTAAAGTGTCACGTATGTTGTGCTTTAAAAAATATATTTTATGAAAAAAAATATATGTGATGATATCTAGTAAAAGGTGAGTCAAAGTAGAAATAATGAATAAAGACATGGTAAAATCTAATGGTGAGTAATGAAATAATTGAAATAGGAAATTAATACTAAGTGCATAGGAAGTGTGCCTATGACAGACAGCATAAATGTTATGAACTTTGATAATAGGAGAAAATAATACAACTGAAAATAAAAATAGGGAAGAGAAATAAATGTAACCATAATGATCCTCAGTTCTTCATATGACTGAGTCGATCAATAGTGCCTCGAGCATTGTCTCATCCTGGAATTGAAAAAGAAATTGCAGAAAATGATTTCTTTATTAATATCTAAAAATATTTTTTCATGGGACAAGTGAAATTGACACACAAGTTTGAGCTCTGTAACAGTAATGTGAGTAGCTATCTAGGGAAGAAAAGAAGTCATTGACCATTTTAGAGGACTGGAATAAAAACAGGCTAATAAATTAATTAAAAGGGGGGATGTACTTTTTAGCAAGGAAATTTAAGTGTCAGCTATCAGAAGAAGAGAGCCATCAGGGAAATAAGATTGTGAGGGAAAGAAATTACCACATTTTAAAAGAAGTGATTAAAAAAATTATGTATAGGTATTAATTTTGTATACATCCATTCAGTGTATTGATCCTTTCATTTGCCAAATTATTGTGAAATCATGATATGCCAATGAGGCAGGGAGATAACAGATTTGCACTATTAAGACAAATGTGCTAATTACAAAAGAAGTACAATCTCTCATGAAAAGGAGCAAAGAGAACTTTGCTGACATAGTATCATTTTATCTGAAATTAAATTGATGGGCTTCCACTACCTATATTAATGAGACCATTGACTGGTAGTCAGGAGAAAAGGCTTTCTACTTAAAAAGAATAGCATGGACAAAATGTGTCAGACAGAAAATAAGCGACATCCAAAAGGAGCTAACAGAATCAGACCTGAATTGTAGAAATGTCAGTCTGTCAAAGACCAAGACTTGTGGGCTTGAGAGTGTTTAACAACCAGTCTTCACTTGAGCTACACATACTCAGCTATGAGTTCACATGCCTGCTGTCTAGCTCCTAGGCCACATCTAGCTTTGAGGCAAAATAAGTAAACTTATTAATGACACCTGAAACATGTGCATATACAGAAGTGTGAGTGCACAGACACACACACACACACACACACACAGATTAACAAATAAAAACTTTACCATAAAATACATGCAAAGTCTGGTATCCTATACTCTTTCAAGAGTTTATTTGGTACTTGGAAACTTCCAGCTGATTGTTACTGGCCTCATTTACTACAAAATTTCTATTTCTATTTTATTGGCCAAAGAAGTCACAAGGCAGTGTATAACTTCGAGGGACTGAGGAAATACAAAGTTCTGAGTGCCCAGAAGATAGACATATAGGTGAATAACAATAGTAACTGCAGAACAATCACGGTCTAACATGGTTCAATGAAAAAGCATTTGTTCTCTATTTTTAACTGCAATGGAATGGCATTCAGAGCTAAAGAGGGTTTTAAAGTTATTAATCTCCCTTGTTTTTACATAAGGTGGGATTTAGGGTCATACTGTGAGTATTCCCAAACTGACAAGGCGGGTTTTGTGATGAATCAGTTTCAGACGCAGAGAGATCTAGAAAGTGATACCTCTGACCTGAAGACTTTCTGTATCCTAAGATAGGAGACCTCGCACTCGGATCTGTGTCACTGCCAACAAAGAGCAAAGGTCCCTCTCAGTATGTTTGTTTAGAAATTCTAATCTTAAATGTAAGAAAGTCGTCTATTGCTGGTACATCTGCACAAGAAGAAAACATATGTAAAATAATTGACAATGCATGGGAGGAAAGGTTCCCTAGAGAACAGATACTAGAACATAGTTACCTGGCGTGCTTTCCTGCTTTTGAGCAATTCACACAGCGACTGTGAACGGTGAGGATCTGGCTAGTAGAATTTCTCTCTGCTTCTCCTAAGTCTCTCATCACTTGCTTGACTAAAACTGTTTGCTACCTTAAGTCTCAACGTTCAAATTTGTCAAAGAAAATGGTGGCTCTGTATAAACTTCAAGAGTGTTTTCTAAGTCTAAAATTATGAGGCTATAATTCTGCTGTCATCCGCACTAATTACAAACAAAATAAAAAACAATCTACTAGAAGTTTATACCCCATTACTCACGAGGAGAGAGAACAAGTGTAGCTTGTTTGTCATTTATGTAGCTCTTGGTGGTGAGGTGAATGTGTGACACCTAGTAGGTGCTTATTCCATATTTGTTGAAAAATTAATTAGTACCTTAAGAAATATGGTAATCATTATACTTCGGTTGATTTAAAGGGCTGGAAGTAGAGCCACATTCCTCTGACTGAACACTGAATTGCTTTATTATAGAGCTGCTTAGATTAGAATTGGGCAATTATAACATATGTAGTGAAAGTTAACAAACGTTGATATGATTCGAACATAATCGGATGCTGGTAACGCGTGTATTTCAGAATGCTGAGATTTTTAATTAAGCTGATTGGCATACATGTGGTAGGATCTGTATGGTATGACAACAGTCAGGCTACTTTTTACATTAAAATAACCTCCGAGGAGGAGATCATCTTAATGATCTTTAGCTATCTAAGCCCCTTAATGACAAGTGCTTGCTTAGCACACACAGTAAATTTTCATGATGATGAGTTCATTGATCACAGGATCACACTTATTCAGCCAGAATTAATGTAGTCACTGTAGACACATCCATGTGGCCCACAGTGATTTATGTTCAACCTCTGTGTAGGTGTAGGTCACTTGGTTGACCATCAACCAACTCTGAAATGTTCTCCAGTGTTTAAATGTCACCTCCATTGTAAAAGATCAAATTTTATTAGTTTTGTTGACTTAGAACCCATGTAAATTAATGCTGAATATATAATAAAATCACCCTTGCAGCTATTTTACCAATCAAAAACAGTTTATATTCCATGTCTTTATCTATTGAAAAATACAGAGAAAAAGACTACATATTGCTAGACTTGTTTATCGAGAATATTTGTAGCCTCACATTGAGATACAGACGATGGAGTTAATTCTCTGTCTTGACCCAAAACTTTACTTATTATTTTAAACAATTTCATTTTTAACTTTAAAACAGATAACTACCTAGAACGCACACATAAATTTAAACTCTGTGGTACATCTAAAGAACCCCATGATTTTGTGAAACACCATTTGTAATGTTTAGCTCTAGGTTTGTCTGCACACAGAAGAGGTGCCATTCCTTAATGTACACAAGGAAAGGATTCACATATTGATTTATTTGTTGCATAGCATTTATTAAATTTTTGCTGCATGTACCACATTGTGTTGGGGACTTTAAGTTTGAAAAGGTACAGATTTAAAGTGTCTATCCTCAGAGTTTATACTTCAGCTCATTTGTCTTTTTGTTGTTCACTAGTTTTTATTGGAGGACTAGCTACCTTTACCTTACCAAACCTAATTTAAAAGGAGGCTCAGACTTGAGGTTCTATACGTATTTGTTTTAAATCACAGCAGTTTCTAGGTTTACCATTGCTGGTCATTATAATGAATGCAAAGTAATTATTTGAGTCTATACTAAATAAATATCAGATTGAACTTAAAACCCCTTATGTCATTTAAAATTGTGTGTGGTTCAGGTTCACTTACATTTTTTCTGGTTAAATAGAATAACCATACAAACAGTTAATAATATCTCTGCTGAAGTTCTACAAACATTCAAATATAATAGGTTTAAAGTCAGTTAAATAAAATTTATTGAGCACCCATAATTACAGTGAACTAAGCTCTAAAGTACTAGTGATTTCTTTTGAAGAAAATCACCATTAGATACTAGCTTGTTTTATGCATGAAAAACCAAAAATTTTTGTCTTTCTCTAATTGCATTTTATAGTGCTGAACAGATGTACCTGATAGTACCTGATTGACTCTTGTTTGTAAGATTAATGTTCTTTTAAATCAATGTACAACTGAAATAAGTAAAATTTACCAGCTTAAAGTATACAGCTCCAAAGTTTTTAAGTACATGCATAG